ACAGACAGACAGACAGACAGACAGACAGACAGACAGACAGACAGACAGACAGACAAACAGACAGACAGACAGACAGACAGACACATGACTATGAACAAAGTCTACTCGAAACCCTACATCGGAAAATCAACAATCTATGCATAAAACTAAAGGCCAAAATGATACCGTGTAAACAACATCTAGTGCCTGCTATAGATTCAACATTACATTGCCGTACCAGTTAAACAACAGCAACATAAATGTCATAAAAACATACTAAAAAGAAGCAGAAGGAGCAGACCACCACATGAGACCACCCACCAACCTGTCCCCGTCGTTTTATGCAAGAAAAATTATGAAATTATACAAACTGAACCCAAAAATGTGAAATTATGCGATTCTGTTAATTTTAATAAAGATTGATAAAGGAAAATAATTAGAAATTATGCAAAAAATGATCAAATTATGAGGAGTGCATAAAACCGTGGGGACAGACCAACCACCCGCGGGACATGTTACATGACACAAAAGCCTGACTGAATAGAAAGGAAAGAAAGTTCTGACTTTCCTCATGGCCTGAGAACACTTCTATCTAAGAATAGATTTTCACTCATGTGGCGAATGGTATCAGCACAGAATTGATTGAAGTCATTACATGATTCATTTGTCACCGTTGCCTCTTTTTCTCTTTGTCTCTGTAACCATGTCACCCCCCCCCACCTGCCCCCCAAAGCGGCTCTTTTTTGTATCCAACTATGGCAATAACCTCAACAATTCTTTTTATGAAAGTTTGTCTGGTATTTTAATTCTCGGGGATTGCCGTCTTTTAAGAAAAAACAAAACCCATTTGATCCTTCTTTCCAATCAATTATCTATCGGCCTTATCTCATCTCCTTCTTATCTTTGTATGTTACTCTCTCGTAACACTTCAAATCTCCCGCACTTTTATGGCTTATTTGTTTTTGCGAAAGCTGTTTGACTCTAACTAAAACTAAAACTAAAAATCTTGGAAGTGAACGAACAACTCAGTTCCTCAGAATTACAAAGTTCTTTCTGCTCAGTTCCAAGTTTTGAGAAATTTGACGTAAAAGATTTTGAGTTTTACATCCTGTCAAGCTTTTTCGAATGCAATTCTTTGAATATCTTGATAACGACTCCGAATAATCTTAAAATTTTGATAAAGCAGATAGAACGTTTGGTTTTTGATCTCGTGGTCATAGTAACTCTCAAAACTGCCGCTAATGTCTGATAGAGCTTTGTTTTTCTAAGGTAGCTAAATAATGAAATATACATCACGGGTTTGTTTGTTTGTTTTGGATAACATGTTTCACGACTGTCTTTCTTCTGTCGAAAAATACATCACGTGACATTATTACTGTATCCCTAGGTGTAGCCAGAGTGATGTCAGCCAGAAAGGTGTGAAAAACTGTTAGGGCGAAAGGAGTAGACGAGGAGAAAGCGCTGCCTGAGATCCGGGGAAGACGAGGGATGGTCACTGTTGTCTGCTTACGTCATTGACGGTTTGCAAGGCTGGACAATTGCCCAGGTATATATCTGAAGTGAAAAGACCTCGCTCACGTCTTTGGTGTTTCCGTCTGTCTTTTTGTTTGTTTGTTTGTTTGTTTGTTCTTCAGTCTGTCTGTGTGTCAGTTTGGGTTCATGTACCAGACTTATATTTTGCCTTTTGTCTGTGTGTATGTGTGTGTGTGTGTGTGTGTG